AAATTAGCCTGGGTAGTGGCACATGCCTGTAATCCTAGCTACTTGGGAGGCTGAGGCAGGAGAATCACTTGAACCTGGGAGGCAGAGGTTGCAGCGAGCCAAGATTGTGCCATTGCACTCCAGCCTGGGCAACAAGAGCGAAACTCAGTCTCAAAACAAAACAAAACAAAACAAAACAAACAAACACACAAACAAAAAAAAAAACTGAATAGAATCACAATGGAATTTCTAATAAATTTTGCAAAAGGAGTTTGGCAAGATTATTTTAAAATTTATCTGCAGCCAGGTGTGATATTACTCATGCCAGTAATTCCAGCACTTTGGGAGGCTGAGGCTGGAGGATCGCTTGAGCCCAGGAGGTTGAGGTTACAGTGAACCACGATTGCACCACTGCACTCCAGCCTAGGTGATGGTGTGACCGGTCTTAAAATAAATAAATAAATAAAATTTTCAGGAGCTCGAGACCATGCTGGCCAACATGGTGAAACCCCGTCTCTACTAAAAATACAAACATTAGCTGGGTGTGGTGGTGGGCGCTTGTACTCCCAGCTACTCAGGAGGCTGAGGCAAGAGAATCGCTTGAATCCAGGAGGCAGAGATTGCAGTGAGCCAAGATCGCGGCACTGCACTCCAGCCTGGCAACAGAATGAGACTCTATCTCAAATAAATAAATAAATAATAAAAAATAAAATTTATCTACAGGGTAAAACACATAAGATAGTCTAGAAAATAAGAAAAGAAAGAGTAAGAGAGGATGTGCCTTACCAGAAAGCTACAGTAATTAAGACCATATAATATTGGCACAGAAATAGGCAATGAGATCCATGTAACAAAATAGAAGATTCAGAAAGAGACCCAAATATAAGGAAAATTAAGAGTGTAGGAAATATTTTAAACATTGGTATATGGATACCCTTTTTAAACAAGAGAAATTCAAAAGCCAGAAAGGAAAAGACTTTTAGATTTGACTACGTAAATACTTACAGCACAGGTTGGGCACAGTGGCTCACGCCTGTAGTCCCAGCACTTTGGGAGGTCAAGGCCGGCAGATCAGCTTAGGTCAGGAGTTCAAGACCAGCCTGGCCAACATGGTGAAAGCCCGTCTCTACTGTAAATACAAAAAATTAGCTGGACAGGTGCCTGTAATCTTAGCTACTTGGGAGGCTGAGGCAGGAAAATAGCTGAAACCCAGGAGGAGGGGTTGCAGTAAGCCGAGATTGTGCCATTGCACTCCAGCCTGGGCAACAAGAGTGAAACTCCATCTAAAAAAAGAAAAATAATTAGCCAGGCGCGGTGGCGTGTGCTGGTAGTCTCAGCTATTTGGGAGGCTGAGGCATGCGACTCACTTGAACCCAGGAAGGTGGAGGTTGCAGTGAACTGAGATCGTGCCGCTGTACTGCAGCCTGAGTGATGGAATGAGACTCTGTCTAGAAAAATAAAATTAAAAAAAAAAAGCTTATAGCACACAACCTTACAATATACAAGGGAAAATATAAGTAACAACTTGTGAGAATATGCTATATTTGCAACATATATATAAAAGGCATAAAATCCCACTGTGCAAAGAGCTTCTACAAATTAATTATAAAAACATAAGGCTCCTAATAGAAAAGTGATTCATAGCAAAATAATGGTTCGTAGCCTTTGCTATCTTCACAGAAGATAGACACTAGTCAATAATCAGTTTCATATTATCATGAAAAGTAAATTAAAACACGATATCACTTTACCTCACAATAGGACAAAAGTTAAAACTTGATAATATGTATCATTCCTTTAGTCAATAAATATTCACTGAGCACCAAGTAGCATAGTAGTCATCATGGGTACAGTGATGAACAAAATGGTGTCTAGATTCATGGTGCTTACAGTCTAGTGATGTAATCACTAACAAAATAATCACATGAACATAAGTACATAATTACAAACATAATTGCAAATTAAGTAAATGCTAAAGAGAGTAAGTCTAGGGCATAATCATTGGGACCTTACTGATTACAATGGGATCAAAGAGCACTTCTCTGAGCAAGACTTGCTGGGCTGAAATGTAAAGGATGACCTGAAATGAACTAATGAGGTTATGGTGTGAAGGGATAGTCACCTTTTTTTTTTTCAGACGGAATTAATGTGCTCAAAGATCCTTAGGCACATGACATTTGAGGAAACAAAGTGCAGTTAGAGAGGAGGAAAGTCATGTAAGAAAAGCTTGAAAAGATGGGAGTAAGATCCTGCAGCCTGTGGACCACATTAAGGACTTCTGCCTTTACTTAAGAACAATTAAAATCATCAAGTTATGTTAAGCAGAAGAATATGAGCAGAATTGCTTTGTAAAAATCAGGCTGACTTCGGTGTGAAGGAAAGATATGGGGAAACGGATGAAGTGAAATCTTCCGCAAGATTCCAGGTTAGGCCGGGTGCGGTGGCTCACGCCTGTAATCCCAGCACTTTGGGAGGCCGAGACGGGCAGATCACGAGGTCAAGAGATCGAGACCATCCTGGCTAACACGGTGAAACCCTGTCTCTACTAAAAATACAAAAAACTAGCTGGGCGAGGTGGCGGGTGCCTGTAGTCCCAGCTACTCCGGAGGCTGAGGCAGGAGAATGGTGTAAACCTGGGAGGCGGAGCTTGCAGTGAGCTGGGATCCGGCCACTGCACTCCAGCCTGGGCGACAGAGCCAGACTCCGTCTCAAAAAAAAAAAAAAAAAAAAAAAAAAAGATTCCAGGTTAGAAAGGATAATTTGGACAATATTAATAAAGTTAAACATGCACACATCATTCTCTATATGTCCCCAAATTAATTTTCTTCTCTTCTGAACTTGTTTCTTTTCCTGGGTTCATCATCTCAGTGAAACAAAATAGCTATGAGATCTGGGTGCGTCACCTGTAGGGTAACTGGAAGCTGAAGCCATAAGAGTGGACGGCCATGGCATAAGTCTTTAAAGAAGGAAATTCTCTGAGTATATCACCCTAACAAGACACTTAGCTCTTCCTCTCCTTCTATTTAATTGGATGATATCCAATTCATCACCCAGTCCTTTAGAGTCTCCCTTTAAATTGTTTCTTAAATAAATCCCCTCAATCCATTCTCTGCACCAGTTCAGATTAGTTTCCAGAATATTTAACTATTGCCCCAGTGGCCTTCTTCCCTTCAGTTCACCATGAACACAGGCAGTGGAATGCAAATATGATTATACACATCCTCCTTAGAATTTTAATGGGTCTTCCCAGCTTACTGAGCCACATCCAAGCTCCTTCACAAGGACTTTTTTTTTCAGTCTCCTGTCTTTTCACCAGGTCAGTGAATTTCCTCTTTTTTTGCCCTTTTCCATTTTGTATAATGGGCTTTTTCTTTTTTGTCTCTCTTTTTCATAAACTGTTCCCTTGATCTGGAACAATACTCCTTTGACTCAGTGGGTTGAGTTTTCCCTTACCTCGTATTTCAGCATACAGTTGGTGTTCTTCAAGGACAGGGATGTGACTGGCTCGCTTCCCCAAACCTCTCCTACATGCCCAGGACAGTGCCCCACACAACGTTGGGAGTAAAGGCGCTCCCAGGTCACTGGGCATCCAGCCCCTGTAGATGCAATCCAGTGCCTCTTTCCAGAAGGCGTCTGGGGGAGGGCTCGAGCTGGAGCACATGAAAAACCAGGGCCGCTCCAGTGTCTGCCTTCCTTCTCAGGTAACACGAGACTGCTCAAGGGTGGGTGGGTGGGGTTCCCAAAGGGAGAAGCCGTGGCTGTGCCGGTACCAGGTAGAGTCGGGGTCGTCCATAAGGCCACAAGGGACTCGGGGTCACATCCTCTGAGACCACTGTTTCAAGGTGGCCAGGGAGCGTTGCAACGATTCTGGTTATTACAGCTATACGAAGCCAAAGTGTCAGAGGTGTTTAAACCAGAGCAACTCCATCTTGTGTTTTTATTATCATTATTTGCTGTTGTTGTTGTTGTTGTTTTTTGAACAGTCTCGCTCTGTCGCCTAGGCTGGAGTGCAATGGCACCATCTCAGCTCACTGCAACCTTTACCTCCCAGGTTCAAGCAATTCTCCTGTCTCAGCCTCCTGAGTAGCTGGGATTACAGGTGCGCACCACCATGCCCGGCTAATTTTTCTATTTTTAGTGATGGGGTTTCATCATGTTGGTCAGGCTGGTCTCAAACTCGTGACCTCATGATCCGCCAGCCACAGCCTCCCAAAGTGGTGGGATTACAGGCGTGAGCCACCACGCTTGGCCTTGTTTTGTTTTTTTTGAGACACAGTTTCACTATGTTGCCCAGGCTGGAGTGCAATGCCAAGATCTTGGCTCATAGCAACCTCCGCTTCCCGGGTTCAAGTGATTCTCCTGCCTCAGCCTCCCGAGTAGCTGGGATTACAGGCGCCCACTACCACACCCGGCTAATTTTTGTATTTTTAGTAGAGATGAGGTTTCACCATGTTGGCCAGGCTGATCTCAAACTCCTGACCTTGGGTAATCTGCCCGCCTCGCCTCCCAAAGTGCTGGGATTACAGGCATGAGCCACTGCTCCCAGCAACTCCATCTTAAACAAGAGCTAGGTAAAATAAGGCTGAGGCATACTGGGCTGCGTTCCAACACCGTTAGGCATTCTAAGTCACAGTATGAGACAGGAGGTCAGCATGAGATACAGGTCATAAAGACCTTGCTGATAAAAGTTTACAGTAAGGAAGCCGGCTAAAACCCACCAAAACCAAGATGGCAATGAGAGTGACTTCTGGCTGTCCTCACTGCTACAACTTCCACTGTCAGAGGTGGTTGAACTAGGGCAACTCTATCTTGAGTAGGGGTAGATAGAGTTGGGTAAAACAAGGCTGAGACCTGCTGGCCTGCATTCCCCGGAGGTTAAGGCATTCTTAGTCACTGGATGAGATATGAGGTTGGCACAAAATACGTGTCATAAAGACCTTGCTGATAAAACAGGTTGCAGTAAACAAGCCGACTAAACCCACCAAAACCAAGATGTGTGATGAGAGCGACCTCTGATTGTCCTCACTGCCCACCAGTGGCCATGGCAACATCAGGAAGTTACCCTATATGGTCTAGAAAGAGGAGGCATGAATAATCCACCCCTTGTTTAGCATATAATCAAGAAATAACCACAAAAATGCGCAACCAGCACCCTCGGGGCTGCCCCCCCTATGGATTAGCCATTCTTTATTCCTTTACTTTCCTAATAAACTTGCTTTCACTTTATGGATTCGCCTCGAATTCTTTCTTGTGCGAGATCCAAGAACCCTTTCTTAGAGTCTGAGATCCAGACCCCTTTCCTGTAACAAAAGGTCTTGGACTGAAGTACTGACTCCACAGTCTTTAATAAAGTATCCTAGTTATTTAATAGTTGCGGTCTCGGGCTCTTGTTGGGCCGCGGTGGGTTCTGGGAAGTGTAGTTCGCCTGAGTCTCCAGTTCCTTGTCTCTGGGCGGTGTGGGCACGCCAGCGAGGCACTGTGGGAGTCGTAGTACCGGAGGAAAACCCTATACCCTCTCTCCTGGGCCGCAGGAGTTTGGGGGACTATAGTCGCTAAAGCCCTACATAGTCTTCCGGCTTTGGGCGTGGCCGCGATGCACTCTGGGAGTCGTAGTAGGGGAAGACAGTCCTCCGCTCTTTTGCGCAGGGTCGCAGGATGTTCTGGGAAGTGTAGTTGCCTGAAGCTCGTGTTCTTTGTCTTTCGGTGATGTGCGTGTGGCCTCAAGGCACCCTGGGAGTTGTAGTGGGGCGGGGAAAGTCATTTGCTCTCTCCAGCGGGGTCGCGGTTGTTCTTGGGAAGTGCCGTTGCCTGAGTCCCGCGTTCTTCGTTTTTCGGCTGGTTGTGCGTGTGGCCGAGAGGCACGCGGGGAGTTATAGGAACCGAAAGCCCTGTGTAGTCTCCCGCGGCGGGCCGCGGTTGTTTCTGGGAAGTGTGGTTGCCTAGGTCCCGAGTCTTTGTTTCTAGGCTCTGGGGTGGGAGGATAGCCCTATGCTCTGGAACGCGGGGCCGCGGGGCCTTCTGGGAATTGTAGTTGTCCCAGGCCCTCGTTCTTTGTTTCCTCGCGCGGGAGCGCGGCGAACTGGGCGATCCAGTAGGAACGAAAACCGTATGCCCTTGCGCGCAGGGCCGCATTGGTTTCTGGGAATTGTAGTTTCTTGAGGCAGGCGGCGTGCTGGGGTGACGTCCGCGGGCTTCTGAAGACGCACTCCTGCGACGCCCGCGGTGGGGCCCTCGGGGGCGGCTCCGAGCGTCTGGCCTGTGTAGGCAAGGAAAGGAGCCCCCCGGTCTGCGCCGGATGGCCCCGGGCGGTGACTTTTCGGAGCCCCGGGACGCTACACCCACCTGGCCGGAAGCACAACGGAAACGCGCCGTCCTGTGGCCACTGTTAGGTGGCCGGGTTCCGGGGAGGCGCGCCGTGGCAGGAGGAGAAAGCCGGCGCCAGTGGTCCAAGCGCCCTCTCTGGGGGCCCCGCTCTCTACGTGGGAGGCGCGGAGCGGGGGCCGCGGGAATCCCCAGTGCGGGATCTAGTGCCTTGGGCGCGGCCTAGCTGGCCCGTTCGCTCAGGGCTCCTCTCTCTCTGACAGGTCTGCCATTTTACACTTTCTGATCTCCTCGGTCCCTTCTGTGAGCTATGTCTCAGGTAAGCTGATGATATATATTGATATATATATTTATGTGTGTGTGTGTGTGTGTGTGTGTATATATATATATATATATATATTTTTTTTTTTTTCTTTGGAAGACAGAGACAGGGTCTCCTCCTGTCGCCCAGGCTGGAGTGCAGTGGGGCGATCATAGCATCCTGTAACCTCAAACTCGGCCTCAAGTGAGCCAACCCGTTGAGCCTGTCTCCTCTTTTCTTTGTGAAGTGCAGCCGTATTTTTCAGGACTTGGGACGTGGCTTTCTCTTACAACCACCTGCCTGGCGGAACCCCAGGACCCTGTCCCCTGTTCCTCCTTTTCAGGTGCTTATACTTAAGTATACATGAAGAGAGTGACAGGAAGCTATCCAGATGTGGACGGGATTTCTGACCTGGCTGGTGTGTTTCAGGGTGGGAGGGTAGGGTGCCAGCTGTTACATTGCCTCTTCTTCCCACAGTATTAGACCGAGGAGTGCCTTGCGTTACTCCAGCGCCCCTTCATTCATTTATTGAATATGTTCTTACTGAACCTCTACTTTCAGTGGTTCCCACAGTGTGATCCTTGGACCAGCAGTATTAGCATCATCTGAGAACTTGTTAGAAATGAATATTCTTGAGTCCTACCCCAGACCTTCTGAATCAGAAACTGGGAATTTGGCCCAGCAATCTAACAGTCCTTCCAAGTGATTCTAACACTCAACTCATTCTATGTCTTGAGGATGCAGAAGTGACCAAAACAAAATCTCTGAACCCATAGAGCTCATTTTTCTGACATGACATAAGGAACACATTTTTATTTTGATTGGGGCTAAGAGTTCGGCTGGTAATTGTGCTTCATAGCAGTGGGGATAACAGGGTCAACTATTCAAAATGAGTCCCTCATTTTCAGTTCCACTTCTTTGTCCTACTTTTTGTCATACTTCTCTCCAAATTCAGGGGCTTTCTGAGTTTTGCTGGGGAATCCAATTTCCACCTCTGCTGCAGATCTTGCTGTGTAGGAAACAGCTGCTTTATTAGTCAACAGTCTTTAATCACTTTTTTATTAAACTTCAAAACTGTAAAATGTAACTGCCATCCATCTGGGGCTGCTACTAGTTTGAGACCTTTTAAATTCCCATTCATGCCTTATAGATCTATGTGGATCACTCAAGTGGTGCAAAACCAGGCTGCAAAGCAAGGGCTTCCATATTATTCTCCCTAACTCTGAGGGAAAGTGCTTTAGGTTCTGTCCTGGGAGGTGTTACATTCTCTTCTTGCAGAATCAAGATTCTTTACTGCTTATCCTCCTTATTCTGTGACATTGCCAAAATTACCACTAAGTTTCACAGGTATTTATTTAGGATTAGGGATGACTGGAACAAACTTGAGACTATATGCCCCATTTGAAGGGTGCTGCTATTATCTGCTATAGCCAATTATTACCCTGAAGAAATTCTGGCTGAATTATATTAAAATAGGCTGGCATTAAGGAAAATATACATTGTTTATTAACATAAAGGAATACTGTAAAATCTTAAGAATTTTTACAACCAATGCCAAAAATCCATATTGTTCATATGTATAATCCTTTATTTTGAACAAAACTGTAAATTGTCTCAGGACTGATAATTTATGTTTTTTTCTCCTTTTCTCCAGCTATGCAACAAAACACAAAAGCTAGGCTCTTCATTATATAATTACTCAGAATTCTGAAAACTCCCATTGTTGCTACTTAGACACATTGTCTAACCTCCACAGTGAGACTCATTTTATACTTTGATAAGGGAGTTTGGGAGCGTGGGTACTGGTCATGCAGATATCTGTCTGTCATTTCAGGGGTCAGTGACATTCAGAGATGTGGCCATAGACTTCTCCCAGGAGGAGTGGAAATGGCTTCAGCCTGCTCAGAGAGATCTGTACCGAGGTGTAATGTTGGAGAACTATGGCCATCTTGTCTCACTGGGTAATTATTCCTCTTCATCTCCCTCAAGTCAAAATTTGACCTTTAGGGTGGCTGTTATAATTATCTGGCTGAATATTCCCAAGATAGGTATGGGGTTTCTTAAAATTAGTAAGATGGGGATGTAAGTGTACCTTATTTTTAGACATTTTAAAAACTTCCATCTGACATTTCTTTTGTGGCCCTTGTTAGGATTCAACGACTGATTTTGAATTTATTTCATTTTCTGCAAGCAGGTCTTTCCATTTCTAAGCCAGATGTGGTTTCCTTATTGGAGCAAGGGAAAGAACCCTGGCTGGGGAAAAGGAATGTGAAAAGAGATCTGTTTTCAGGTGAGTGAGTTGGAAGCTGATGGGAAAATTTTTTTAAACCACTCAATTAGTCAATGAGAAAGGAATACTTTTTAATATGTTGATTGGAAAATTTTCCCTTAAAGGTACCAGAGATAGGCTGGACGTGGTGGCTCACGCCTGTAATCCCAGCACTTTGGGAGGCCAGGGCAGGTGGATCACGAGGTCAGGAGATCGAGACCATCCTGGCTAACACGGTGAAACCCTGTCTCTACTAAAAATACAAAAAATTAGCTGGGTGTGGTGGCGGGTTGTAGTTCCAGCTACTTGGGAGGCTGAGGCAGGGGAATGGTGTGAACCCGGGAGGCGGAGCTTGCGGTGAGCCAAGATTGCGCCACTGACTCCAGCCTGGGTGACAGAGCAAGACTCCGTCTCAAAAAAAAAAATACCAGAGATATAAAGACTGAAGTTTCACTTACAACTCCATAAAGGACTACTTCATGCCCAGTTCTCTTTGTTTTTTCTATATTACGTAACAGCTAACATACTCAACCAGTCCTCACTTTCTACTTCCTCCACTTTCTCACAGGTATCTTTTTTGTTGTCATTGTTTGTTCTGTCTGGTCTGTGAATTTCATTTCTTTTTGTTTCTTCCTCCCTTTCTTTCTTCAAATGGACATATATTTCTATTGCCTAAATCCAACCTGAGAAAGAAAGAAAAATTAAAAAGTACATATATTGCTGTTCTATTTAATCACCTGGAAAGGATTAGCTCATTACTCTTTGATTAACTGATATTTATTCCTTCACATACACTCTTAATATTTACAGGAATTTTAATCTTGTCAATCTTTCTCAAGACTCTCTATTAAATGCTACAGAGACTAGAGGGTGTACAAAAGTGTAGTAACTATCAAGGAATTCATGGCCTAGTGATGTGTCTAAATAACTTGCATTAGATATCCTCAAATTAGCAGTTCAGCAGCGAAAAAAGGAATTTCCAGTTGGCGCTTTAGGCTTGGATAATTTGGATAGAGATTTTAGTAGAGAAAAGACAGAAAAGGGTCATTTTTGGAGAAAAGGTGATGAATTCTGTAAGTTCTGAATTTTGTAAGTTCTGTAAGTTCTATAGTTGATTCTACAGCAGATTTTTTTTTTTTTTTTTTTGAGATGGAGTGTCGCTCTGTCGCCTGGGCTGGAGTGCAGTGGCCGGATCTCAGCTCACTGCAAGCTCTGCCTCCCGGGTTCACGCCATTCTCCTGCCTCAGCCTCCCGAGTAGCTGGGACTACAGGTGCCCGCCACCTTGCCCGGCTAGTTTTTTGTATTTTTTAGTAGAGACGGGGTTTCACCATGTTAGCCAGGATGGTCTCGATCTCCTGACCTCGTGATCCGCCTGTCTCGGCCTCCCAAAGTGCTGGGATTACAGGCTTGAGCCACTGCGTCCGGCCTACAGCAGATGTTTAATGGAGGTACACTGATTTTTAGAGAAAAAAGGAGGAATGTATACATTTTATGAGGCAGCAGCTTAGGACTGATGAAACAGGTGCCATGAAAACTGAGCTGTAGCTTTAAGGAGAGTAGTGGTTGTTAATATGAAATGCTGCAGAGTTCATTAGGAGAATGTCCAGAAGGATTTGCAAAGGAGGTACTAATGTGGGCTGAAGCCATGAGGTGGAACAGGTGCAGGGAAACTTCGTTTAGTGGGAGCAAATGAGGAAAAATATCCTTTTTGAATTCAAAAATAACAAAACCGATAAAAGTATGTACGAAGGAAGTGAGGAAAAAGGAAAACGTGGAAGTTGCCTCTAATTCTACTACTTTTTTTTTTTCTTTTGAGACAAAGTCTCGCTCTTGTCCCCCAGGCTAGAGTGTGATGGCATGATCTCAGCTCACTGCAACCTCCGCTGTCCGGGTTCAAGCGATTCTCCTGCCTTAGCCTCCCGAGTAACTGGGATTGCAGGCGCCTGCCACCATGCCTGGCTAATTTTTGTATTTTTAGTAGAGATGGGGTTTCACCATGTTGGCCAGGCTGGTCTCAAACTCCTAACCTTGTGATCCGCCCACCTAGGCTTCCCAAAGTGCTGGGATTACAGGCGTGAGCCACTGCGCCCAGCCTGATTCTACTACTTTAACACAGTTCTTGAAGTTTTTATGTGTTCCTTCCAGTATCTTATTTTGAAAATTCTTTTCATTGTGAAATATCACACACAGACAGAAGTAATGCATGAACATACATGTATACTTAATAAATTACTGTAAGGCAAACACCCATGTGACCAAGGTCAATAAACACAGCACTGCTAGGTTTCTTGCAAGCCTTCCGTGTGCTCATCCTCATCCTCCAATAAAGCCAATCATCTCTTTGCTTTTATGGTAAAGTAACTTCCTTGGTTTTCTTTATAGTTTAATCAGCTGTTTGCATTTGTGTTCACTGTAGTTTAGGTTTGTGTAGAAAACCATTATATAGAAAGATTTATAATGCATTTATTGATTTGCTTCTCCAAATTATTTTAAAAATGTTTTTGGCTGTGCATGGTGACTCATGCCTATAATTCCAATACTTTGGGAGACTGAGTTGGGAGAATCACTTGAGGCCAGGAGTTTAAGACAAGCCTGGGCAACCTAGAGAGACCCTGTCTCTACAAAAAATTTTTAAAAGCTAGCTAGGCATGGTGGCATGTGCCCATAGTTCTAGCTACTTGAGAGGCTGAGGCAAGAGAACCACTTGAGCCTAGGAGTTTCAGGCTGCAGTGAACTGTGATTGTGCCACTGCACTCTAGCCTGGGCAACAGAGTAAGACCCTATTTTTTTAAAAGTTAAAAAAATTTTTTTTCATTGTACAAGTAAGTATACCACAATTTATTCTTTCTACTATTGAGGGCTTCTTTTTTGCACATTTAGAGATACTGCAAGCAATGTTGTTACTGTGCTTGTATCCTGGTACATATTGGCACATTTCTCTGTGGTTTATATATAGGACTGGAATTGCCAAGTTGGAGGATAATGCACCTCTTTAAGTCATTAGATAATGCCAAAATGTTTTCCAAAGACCCTTGACTGACTTATACTCCCACAAACACAGTCAGTGAATGCCTGTTGGGCATCATCATTTTCACCTATCAGAAGGGTGTGCAGTGGTAGCTCGTGGTTTAAACTTGCATTTGTCAGGCTGTTAATGAAGCTGAGCACCTTTTCACATGTTTATTGAACATGTAGGTATCCCCATCTGTGAAGTACATCTTGAAGATTTTTGCTCATTTATCTACTGGATTCTTTTATTGATTTGTAGAAGTTATATATTTTAGATAGAAATCCTTTGCTAATTATATGTACTTCAAAATCTTTCACATGTGGCTTATTTTGTTTTACCTTCATAGCTTATTTTGATGAACAGAAATTCTTAATTTTAGTGTAGTCAGATGTATCAATCTTTTCCTTTATGTTTAGTATTTTTTTAGCCTATTTAAGAAATATTTCCCTACGAAGATTATGATGAAGACATCTTCCTATATTTTCTTTTTAAAAAGCCTACTTGTTTTGCGATTCACATTTAGATCCATTGTTCACTTTATTTTGTCATGTGAGTTAGTAGTCAACTTTGCTATCTTCTGTATGGAGATCCAGTTATCACAGTACCATTTATTGATACATCAACCCTTTTCCTCACTGTTTTGAAATTAGTTAAATGTCAATTTTTGTGTTTGTATGTTTCTAGGTTCTCAATTCTCTTTCATTTTTCTCTTTGCTCAAATCTATACAGCCTTAGTTATAGATTTAATGATTAACATTTTATTGTATTTGTCTTACCCCTGCCCCTTTTTTTCTCTGAGTTATTTTAAGTAAACAGGGCTATCATTTAAGAGTTGTTGCTGCAACCTGGTGTAGATCTAATCATTACCTGAACTATGTAGGTATCCAGGGAGCTGAGGGAGGTAGACAGATTGGAAATAAAGTGAAGAAGTAGACTCAAAAGGACCTGGCAATTGGTTAGATGGCAGACATGAAGAAGACTGAGAAGTTGTGGTTGACATTAGTCTTTTTGGTGGTATGATTGTTTCCTTAGTAAAAAAAGGATCAGCAAGTTGGTAGGGGAGGAGAAGATTATATTGAGACTTGTTGAGTTTTGGGTTTCTGTGGGATATGAATATACAAATCCAGTAGGCAATTGAGTATCATATTCAAGAGGTTTCAAATGCATATTCCTTTTTTTTTTTTGAGAGGGAGTCTCGCTCTGTCGCCCAGGCTGGAGTGCAGTGGCGCAATCTCGGCTCACTGCAAGCTCCGCCTCCTGGGTTCACGCCATTCTCCTGCCTCAGCCTCCCGAGTAGCTGGGACTACAGGCGCCCGCCACTGCGCTCGGCTAATTTTTTCTATTTTTAGTAGAGATGGGGTTTCACCATGGTCTCGATCTCCTGACCTCGTGATCTGCCCGCCTCGGCCTCCCAAAGTGCTGGGATTACAGGCGTGAGCCACTGCGCCGGCCTCAAATGCATATTCCTAAGCCCCACCCTGGAAATTCTAAATTGGTAGGTTTGGGGTGGAACCAAATAATTTGCATTTCTTTCTTTTTTTGGCTAGTCCAAAAAAAAAAAAAAAAAAAGCTGTGGGAGTGGAGGAGAAACAAAGAAATCTATAACTAGTTGTGATCAATGACTTGTAAACTCCACTGCATTCCGACCAGCCAGAATTTGCATTTCCAACAAATGACCAGATGATGCTGATGCTGAACTAAAGTAGACATTTAGGAGTTACCTGCACAGCTTCTTAAAATTTTGAATTTTCTTTGTAAAATCGTTGCATTCCGTTGTTTATTCTTAAGCAACTTTCCTCAGTTTCTTTTCTAGATTGCTTCTCTATAGGAATGTTAGTGAATTTGTATATTTATATCTCTTTATCTTTATTATAGAAATAAAAATACGGTTGGGTGCAGTGGCTCACACCTGTAATCCCAGCACTTTGGGAGGCCAAGGTGGGCAGATCACCTGAGGTTAGGAGTTCAAGACCAGCTTGGCTAATATGGTGAAACCCGTCTCTACTAAAA